ATGAGAGAAAAGGGGCATCCCATGCTCGGCGAACCTCATCGTTGTAACTCATTGTTCAAACTCTTCGCTTATTTTCTGTTTTCCGGTTTTCCGTTAACGAGAATAATTGCTCCCGGCGCTCGCGGCTTAGGGTCGTTGCACCAATGTTAAACTAGCAAGTCGACTTGCTCCCCAGGTATAATCGAACGTGGGATCTCCATTCTGTACAATTCAAACATTTACCAGCACAAATTTCAATCTCCACCTCCAAGTCCTCCCCTGCCGCCCGATATATCGCCGATATATCGCCAACGCATTGGCTCACACTAAAAATTCATTGACATTTTTTACCCGGAATTTCGTCAGCTACAAAAAATGTTCAGTGATATTTCCTCGAAAAATCCCTAGTTCTCGAGAAATCTTTGATTTTTTGGACAGTATGAAAAATCGGCCGATTTTTCTTCACCCACGTTCACCTTGACCCCCAATTATCTCGGTCCCACTCAATTCCACACAAAAAGTTCATCAACATTTTTTATCCTAAATTTCCCCAGCTACAAAAAAGGTCCAGCGATAGTATCCCGAAAATCCCGCGGTTTCCGAGATAATCGTGGAATTGAAAGTTCTCAATAATCTAAATCCTTCAAAATTCACTCTTCCGATGTGAAATTCACGTCCTCAGGGTAAAATTTATTTATAATCACAACTCACGCTTTTTTTCATCGATATTTACGATATCGCCTAATCGATCGACAATTTTATCGATACCGGAAAAGCCGGGGCAACCTTTATGTTCGCCCACTTAGAAACAAAACTAAATAAAAAAGGGAATATGGAAAAAGAGCAAAGATAAATGAAGTTGACTCTCTATTTTTCCCTTTCTCTATCGTATCCAGGCAGTCTCTTGTTGGTCTATGGTTTTCTATTCGCGCAAACTCATGGCAATTTATTCCCCCATAGCACTCGCAACCTTTCAACTCCGTAATCCATTTTGCCGAGTGAAAACACGTCCTCTCCGTTCTTTTTCTTGCCTTTATCTCCCTCTATTCATGCCCATTGCCTTTCTTTTATCCCCATACCTAGGCTTAACCTATTATCGACAATTGCACAATTTCTGATTACGCAAATTGTGCAATTCATTGATTTTTCTCTTGTATTTTCTCGCGCTAGTTCACCCCTCGCGCATGAGAATTTTTCATATCGATTGATTGACAGCCGATATGTATATCTATTTCATATCGCATTGTTTTTTTATTGTTTAATGGGTTTTTTATATTTTTATTTAGTCATTCTTTTCTTCTTTTTTGGGGAATTGTTTTTTTTTCTCTCATTTTTTATCATCACCTGTTTCTCAGGGAAAAATTCGAACTCTAGTCGATGGCACACAATACCTTGACATAAATAAAATAGATAAACGAATGATGGAAATAGAAATAGACTTATCTGCTCTATTCGGTTGGATATCGAAAGCGATACGAAAATGGATGGTTTTATTTATTTGAGGGGAGGAAAACAGGACTAATAAAATTTATTTTGCACTCCTAATATATATCGTTTAAAAACAGATTCTGGAATTTAATCGGTTGAATGGAATTCAAATAAAATTCAATCCGACGATTTCCCAGAAAATTAATTATAATAAATCGATATTAATTCAAATTAATTCAAAAGTCCTTGAAATTTCCGAAAAATTTTATCGAATCATCAATTAATGATCGATTAAAAATAATAATTGAACATTGTCTCGAAGAAATTTTATTCCAAATAATAAATTTAATTTCCACAAATCGCGGAAATTTCTGCGTGGAGATAAATTTAAATTGCCAATTAAAATGTGAGAAGTGCTCGGGGTGATAAAATTGGATAAAATCCGTGAATTAAATCACGGAAAATCGCAACGAGTGTTTATATTTTTGAGATATAAACAAGTGGTGGATAAAGTACCGAGGAAACACGAGTGCTGGTAATACGTGGACGATAATTTATCGCTGCATTTATTCGCCCGGTCGCTTTCTCAATGCACTTTCTACGGCCGATCTCCCCAATACGAAAGTTCCACCGATCCTTTTTATTCGCGTCTGTACACTCGAGTGCATTGTGCAATCACCAGGTACATGAGATAGATTGTGGGGGGCGGTAATAAATCGAATCATTATCAAATGTTAAATGGTATTTTAGTCTTAATTGCTGGCGCATGGGCACATGGACGATCTTATGGATGAGTCATTGCAATTGCAGGGGGCTGAAAGGGGGGGGGGGTTGATTTTGTGGGTGAAATGGACGGGAATTAATGAGGGACACGTTGAACAGGTGTTGTGTAACTGAAAACACGGAAGTCGGGACCGGCTGAATAGATTAAACATCAGGATTTGCCAGTATCTTGAGAACTATTGGTTTTTCGAGAAAATGTACGGATAACTTTTTTGTTGCTCACTGGATTTTCAACAAAAAATTCATCTGACGTTTTTCTGTATCTCGATTTGTTGAGGAATTATAGGGGTGGTTGTGGTTAGAGGATTCTCTCGATTTTTTTTCTGCGGGAGTGGTTTATGTGCGAGGTTTTGTGAAGATATCTTGAGAACAGGAGGTTCTCTAAAAAATTTTGCTGAACCTTTTTTGTAGATCAGGAAATTCGCTAGAAAAAACGCTCCTAGCGTTTTGCTCTATCTCTATTTGTTGAGGAATTGTGATTACGATTGCAATTGACGGTTTTTCGGAATTTTTCACGGCTTCGGAAATTGAGTCTTCTTCGGATTTTTTTTTGTATCTCGAGAACGCGAGGTTTTTGGAGGAAAAATTACTGGACCTTTTTTGTAGGATACGAGATATCGAATAAATATTACTTGACGTATTTTCCTCTAGCTCGAGCCATTACCGAGATAATTCAATATCCAGCGACATGAAAAATGGTATTGCTCTCCCGGCAAATTTCCGATATTATTGTCTTCCACCGCAAGTGCTTTTATTGATACGTAATTAACGAAATTAATTATGATGTGAATGAATGAGGGGTATCGCTGATCTGCTTTGAATTTCTGATTGGATAACCAAGAGAAAACGGGTCATTAATTTGGAAATGCGAGCGGGGGATTAATTGAAGGACGAAAATGACGAGAAGTGGATCTGGTGCTTTCAGGAAAACCGAGGGACGTGCATTGTATCCATGACCCAATTTCCAAGGGTAAATCCCCAACGAATTAATTTCCCCGAGAATTCCAAAAATTTCCAAAAACCTTGAACACAAAAAAATCCGAAATAACTCAATTTATTTTACATTTTCTCTCAATTAAAAAAATATCTAATCCCATTTTTCAAAAAAATCTCACGCATACACATTGATATTAAAATTATTAAAATAAATCCAGATCCATCTGGATTTTTATAAACAAGACTTTCTGGTTGTCATTTTATTTAATTTATCAACATAAAATTTAATGCGCAATTTTGCAATGCGCGTGCAATCAATTGAAATTCAAACCTAATGAACCGGGGATTTAATAAAAACGTTATCTCAGTGTTGAAAAAAAAGAGTCCCACGAAACTCCGCTATGTACCGAGAGTACATAAGGTGAAAAATTCCATACGCACAAGTCTAGGAATCCCGTCGGACTAACGGCGAGTTTTTTCACTCGTCTGTCGGCCCGTTCAATGCACCGAGACTCGCCCGACATCTCACGTATTTTTCCCCATTACATAAACCCATGAAATGGCAACGATATTAACCATAAATATATCCCATCCAATTTATTATATTCCCCGATTGAATTTCCACATGGAAATATGAAACTTCTGTGAATTTATGAACGGTACAATTGTCCCTGAAAAATTCACGCCAATTGAAAATTTCTATTTGCGGGAAACATGCTAGTTTCGTTTTTACATCTTTCGCGGAATTTTTTCCGGCCTTTTTTTTTTCTTTTCTCCCACTGTTTCTCGGTTTGTAACGGATAACACGCGGTTACAGCTAGATCATTCCTGCGTTTTCCGACGGGATTGTCCTCCGGAGGAAACACCGACAGAATATTCCCGCAATATGACGAACCGAGGGAAACGTAAATACCGTTATGAGTCAATATTATTGTTTTTTAATTAGCGAATAATTTTTTCGCTCTTCCCTTTTCCCCCGAAATTCCTTTTCACGCGATACCCGCGGAGATAAAACAAAAAAAATGATAAAATTATTGAAAAATTCTATAATTAAAAATTAATAAATCCTGTATAATTATTTATACTGTCATCACCAGATTTACTGGTGAGAATAAAATAAATTTTCGATCAAAGAAATTCGTTATTTTGTTATAACTCAGCCTTATTTATTTATTTATTTATTTTTTCTAGATTTGCTAGTCAAATACTTATCGATAATTTTATTTAAATTTTTACAGAGCAACATTACGCAGCAGCAGACTCGAACAGTTCGACTCCAGCAAAGAGTTTTGTACCTTGTAAGGTGTGCGGTGACAAGGCAAGCGGTTTTCATTACGGTGTTACCAGCTGTGAGGGCTGCAAGGTCAGTTATTTCATTAACAAACAAGGGTAAAATACATATCTCAAACACCATTAAAACAACCACTTAATCATGCATACACCTAGCCCCAGCTATTTCATTATTATTATTCGGTGAGGTTAATGAATAAGTAATGGGGTTTTTATTGTTGGATGTACGAGAGGGAATCGCTAAACCCGGAAGCCCTTATACAAAGTTAACTGTAAACTGAGGTTTTTACCTTCTATCCAACTCTCATGCCTCTCTTTGCCCCTCATAATACCGTCTTTACTCCTTTTTATTTTTCCTTTTTTTCTTTATCCTTCATCCGTTTCGCATTGTGCGATAGATTTTTTAATGCTACTGATTTTTTATCCCCGCGACAATTCCTCGTGATAAATTTGACAGTGAAAAATGGGGAGAATCGATTAATCATCTTGAAATTGTTGGTTCGATAGTTCGTGATTCGAAAATTTGAGAAATTACGGAATTAAATCATTTTCTAATTGATAAATCGATAAACAAGTGATTCTGACAATAAACTCGAAATTTTCTATTCTAAAAACGAAAAAAGTCTTTTTGGATTTTCTATTAAATTCAAAATTTCCCATTCAATAAACAATTGTTAATTAAATCAATTACTGCATAATTGATATATCCCTTAATAAAAAAACACCCATAAACCAATTATTTAATCGTCATGAATTTAATTTTTTAATTAATCAAACCAAAAAAATTCGGAGTAACAAAAACAATTCCAGATTATTATTCCAAAAATTGTACATACGCCTGTCGAAATTTGCACAGATATTTTATTAATATCTCGTTCAAATGAAAAATAGCGAATGATTGTATGATCTCGTCTGACTGAATCCCCATTTTTTCTACTGGGAATGTACAAAGTGAAAAGAGACAGAGGGAGCGGCATTTTACCGCGACTGCTCGATCGATCGAACGACACACGCCAGAAGGGAAAACCTGGTGGGTGGGGATCGGTGAGGGGGTTGAGGGGGTGAGGTAGGGGGTTGAAAATGGGGGTGAGTTTCGAGCTTCCACGGTGAATACTTTCGTGTTGCGGGAGAATAATCGGTCTCGGTCGAGGTCGTGCATGAGTGTGTCCTTTGCGTGAAATATTACAATTTTTTCCATTAAATTCACCCTCGAAATAGACAAAATGCACAATTACCCCGGATATTCATTTTTATTTTTCAAATTATTTTCATATCCGCAGCCGAAGAATTTTTATCTGATTCATCCAGAGATATTCATTTACTGATTTATATTTTATCAGCGATTAATGGAATTATTACTATATAAATTGATTGCTGGAATTAATTATTGGACGAATGGATTTAATTTATCTACAATTTAAAATCGAATGATAATTATTTTTTAATTATTCTGCATTGATTATTCGGAATAACTACGGTGCGTACATGAATTTATTGAAAAGATATGAAAGAGATAAAAAATTACTGATTAATAAATCAAAGGGAATTGTTTTGAGATTTTTTTTTTGGCAATTCCTCTGGGATCTGGAATTTACTGGAATAATAAAATCGTGAATAACCTTGAACTAGAGATATTTGAATTGATGAAGTGGAAAAATATGAGAAAGGTCTCCAGGAAGATTTCTCTCACGGTATATTTCCAGTACATCAGCCTGATAACGAGAGGAAGTGGAAATTGTATTGTCCCTGACATTATCCTGTGGCGAAGTACTTGTCCCCCTGTATTCGTAATTAATCATAATTATTAAACAAGCACGTGAGGGGCTTTCAGGAGAATGTTTCAAGGCTTTTTTTTTTCTCTTGGATATTTTACCTGTTTCGTGATGGGAATTGTGGAGAAAAAAAAACGAACGTTTTGCCAGGGGGATGGGGAATGGGGTAAGACGTAAAAAGAGGTTTATTCCTTCGTTGGGGTGGAGAGATAATTTTAACTTGAAGAGAACACCTGGGATTCACTCGGGGGATGCACATCGCCGTTTTTTTATTTGTCGATGGTGCTTTAGGAATTTAATATTCCAGGAAAATCCGGAAGTCACGTTGACACTCCCATGGAATCTATTTCGGAAATTAAATTAGGGCACTGAATATTAATTATTTTCTATCTATATTAAAATATCGAAATCCATTTTTCAGTGGGAAATTTTTTTTTTTCGGCGTCATTATTTAATCTAAAATATATTTTAAAAATGATATAGAATATCAGTTAATATTTATAAATTATATTTTATTTATTATAAACCGCTTGATTTTTCTGAGTCTGAGTCTGAGTTGCATGTGAATTTTTTCGGATTCATTATATCGAATTTCCTGATAGTGAAAATTCTCGAGAAAACTCGAGAGGTCTGAGCTATTTAAGCGGTTAATTTCCCCAACAAAAAGCGTCTTCTTTGGAAAATTGTTATGGGCTGATGCTGCGGGTGGTTAAATACCCCAGGAGTAAACACCAGGTGCATCGATATTCTCTGGACTTGCGCGCAAGTCATCTCCGCGAAAAACCAGGAAGTGAATCTAGAATTAATTTTCCAATATCACCCGAGGAAGAATTCCAAAAAAATATCAATAACGAGATCCCAAATCCCCAGGACAATCTAATCCTGGAACAAAATAATTTTTTCGTGGAGGGAAAGAAAAAATATTTCAAATTATTTTAAAAAATTCCAAAAAATTCCGAAAAATTCCAATAAATTCCAAGAAATTCCAAAAAATTCCAATAAATTCCAATAAATTCCAAAAAATGCCAATGACTCAACAAAGACTCCTGTTGAAAAAATTAATAAAAAAAAATTCAAAGGATTGTGTATAAAACTCGGAGAAATGCGTCCTGGGGGTGTAGTATTTTTCGATATTCCTATTTTTTTTTCTCCCTGACGTACCTGACGAGTACTGAGTACTTGAAATATGCATTACCGTTCTACCCTACCACCTTTTCATCACCACAGTGAAGAGGGTGATTCCCGACTAGATCCGTCGAGTCATCCGACAGGATATCGTGAATAAATTATTTCATCCACTCGGTCGTCAATGAAACTTATCGTCATGATTCGCATTATTTTTCCATTACATTTTCCTCATATTTATCATCCAACAATTATTTCAGGATTTTATATGACTTCCGGAAGGAGAAGAGGAAGAGTATTTTATTTAACTCTCACTCCATTGAATAAATAAAATTTATTTATCGTACATTTTTTGAAGATCCAATCCAAATGGAAAACGTTTTAATAAAATTAATATAGAAACCGAACAAATGTGGAAAAATTGTAACAATCTCGAACGATTGAAATCTGTTTCCAGGGCTTTTTTCGACGAAGCATTCAGAAACAGATAGAGTACAGGTGTTTGCGGGACGGCAAGTGTCAAGTGATAAGATTGAACCGGAATCGCTGTCAATATTGCCGATTCAGAAAGTGCCTAGCTGTTGGCATGTCACGTGACTGTAAGTATCAAGTACTGAGGGAAATACAAAAAATTCACGAGCCCCTGATAAATTTTCGTCACTATAACATTCAGAGTTGCAAGTACACTTATGCATAAACGCCGGAAGCATCTCGATGCTTTGGGGGCTTTCCTCCCACAATTTTCCCTCCGTGGGGTTGAGTAAACCAGAGGGAAACTTGCCTGCATAATTCTACATCAAAGTTCGGAGTAGTCTTGATTCCCATCCAACTGGAATACACGTCTGGGCCGGAATTATAAGGCAAAATGTCAGGGAAAACGTCTGGATTTTTTCCTAAATACCGGATTACCGCGTTAACTACTGGTTCTACACCAAAATGTCAGAGGAATTTTTTACGCAACACCTAATTCACTACAAAAAATTCCCCTACCATTTTTTTCCCCACTCACTGGTTCTCGAGATATTCGCAAAAAATGTGATCGGCTGATTGAAGAATGACTGCGAAATCAATAAAAAAAATTGTTAATCAACGGTTTTGTTTAATAAATTTTTAATTTGTGATCAGCTGTGCGGTACGGGCGTGTGCCAAAGCGTTCGCGAGAACGTGGTCCCGAGGACACAGTGGCCACAACGTCACCAACAACGACAACAACAACAGCCACTGGTGGAAATCAACAAATATCATCGGCTGTTAATAACAACAACCATAATAATATCAATAACAATAATAATACAACAGCTAGCAACAATAATGTGACAAATAATGGGAGTACTAATAGTAATCAGCCACAAAGTGTGATACCCCGGGTGCCATCGGCAACAGTTGTCGAGGCAGATCAGTCCGATGGTGACAGCAAGCAATTGGCAGTTTACGATGTCATTCTCCAGGTGTCACAGGCCCATCACGCACACTGTGGCTTCACCGATGAGTCAACGAGGGGCCTCATCAAGAAGCCAATGATTATGCCAGTGAGTCCCATTCCTTATTGATTTATTCCTCCATTAATAAAAAAAACAGACATCCAATTTTTTTCTCATCACTCATTCTCGTTGCAAATCTCGGTACCAAAGCACCGCACATGATTTCCGTAATTAGATTTTTCGTAGAGCTTGCAATTCTCTACAAAAAAGTACTCCACGAGGATTTTCATACATCGCCTGGATTCCGAGATATTCATGAAAAATCGTGTGAAACGAGTGTAATTGTCTGGAGTTGGCTTCAGTTTTGTTGAATTTTGAAATTTTTAAATTGAAGTGGAGAGAAAATAATTGACTGATTAATTTGCAGCCAGCGAGCCCGGAAGACCCGGAGGCAGCTTCATCCACAGCTGAGGCAGTTGAGTCCCAGAGGATTTGGCTGTGGCAGCAATTTGCCACTCGTGTCACACCCTCGGTGCAGAGAGTCGTTGAATTTGCAAAGAGAGTACCTGGTTTCTGTGAATTGACTCAGGACGATCAACTGATACTCATCAAGGTTGGATTCTTCGAGGTGTGGCTATGTCACATCTCCAAGATGACGAATGATAGTTCGATGACGTTTGAGGATGGAACGTACATCACTAAACATCAGATTGAACTGATGTATGAGGTAAATACTCTGAAATAAATTAAAAAAAAAACAGATACACCTGAATAAACAGGAAAATAATAAAACAATTGATTGTGGTATCAGCCTGAGTTCGTAGCAGCCCTGATGCAATTCACATCAGCCCTGAATGCTCACCAGCTGTCAGATGCTGAGTTGGGCCTCTTCTCAGGTGCTGTACTTCTTAGTGAAAGGGCTGGACTAAATGATGTCAAGGCAGTCCAGAGGCTTCAGGATCGTCTCCTCGAGGCCCTGAGGATTCAGGGCGGTAGGAATCACTCGTCGGATATTTCGGCTGTCGGTTGTCCTGGGGTCATTGGTATTGCCCAGAGGATACCTGAGTTGAGGGCACTGGGCTCGAGACACGCTAATCTTCTCGATTGGTTCAGGAGAAACTGGACAAAGCTCAAATTACCCCCCCTCTTCGCTGAGATATTTGACATTCCCAAGTGTGAGGAGGACTTGCAATGAACCGGTCAGTCAATTTTTATTAATAATTCAATTAATTGTCCATTTAAAAAATGAATAAATGGTGATTTCTCGTTTGGTAATCATTCAATTACCGATTTATCTCGGAAGCTATTGATTTTTTAAAAAAATGTCAAGATACATTTTTTCTCGAGAATTTAATTGGCCGCAAAAAAGTTATTTGTCGTTTTTACCTGAGATCGGCAGATTTTGAGAAAAATTGATAATGGAATTAAAAAAAAATTGATTCTTTACTGTTTCAGGTACTTGGAAAAATTCACGAGGCCTGAAACGTCCTGATCGCGGACTGCAAGCGAGATAAAGAACATAAAACATATCTGAGTTGGAACTGGATCCGTTCAAACCCTAAATAATAAAGTTCTTGCCCGCACAAAAGTGATAACCGAAAGAGATAACATGAAAATACTCACCCCAATACTCGATACTTCTCCGATAATCGATGAAAGAAAAATATATAATAAAAATGATCGAGGTGATTGATGAGTTCAGTACCTATATACTCGATTTAAAGTAAGTAGACAGAGTAACAACGCTAGATTAATTATTATTCGAACAAGCGTTGATACAATTTAAGGAATTCAAATCTCTTCGTCGGCGTGACTCCTTAGGTGCATGCGCTAATCTCTGCAATCTATTTTTATTACTTGAATCTAGGGTAGTAAAATCAATTGAAATGAATTTATCTCTAGCCAATTTTCAGGAGGTGTGGGAGGATAAATAAGAGCGAGGGAATTGCATAACTTGAGTGAGTTTTGGGATTATTTTTCAATTCCATCTGAACGTGCTCATGATAATTAGATTGAAAATGATAATTGTTGAAATTACGATAAGATTAATTTGCTCAGAATTTGCACAATCATCATATCATTATTTAAGATGTGTTTATTCCATTATTTGGGGAATTAGCCGAGAGATTCTTCGATTTTTCTTTTCATTTCCTGGGTAACGATTGAAAGTCTGTTGTCAGGTGGAGGATTTGACGAGATATTAATTGAAATTAATAATAATTGCAATTTTACTTTGAATATATTGGAGAGGAGATTCTCCACGTGACAATCACGACGACGAAAGCTAATCTGTACTTAATTAAACGGTAAAAGCACTCTATATATATAAAAGAAAAGATATATGTACATTCATGATATTAAGGAATTTTGAATTTTAAGCGCTCACATCAAGTTGTGAATTAACATATCATACATTACTAATATATTGAAGAAAAAAAAATGATAAAAACTTGAATATAATTAATATATAGAGAGCAAAATATATCGAAGCGAAGGAACAATGACGAACCATTGGGACTGGACTGTTGCAATTTTTTGAGATTAAACTCTCAATTTAATAAATCGAGTAAAAATAAACGAACGAATAAAAAAATCTAGATTAATAAATCAGTCAACAGTGCAGATCCCTTCAAAATTTTCTAGTCCAACCGATGATTTCTTTTTTTTTTTATCAATTCGAAAACTCGCGAGAGAATCACATTGAAACGGCCAAATACTTCGTTAATATTAAGGTACACTAAGGGGTGAAATTGGTGGACGATGAAAATTCCCTTCATCTTCGCTATAATTTCAGCAATTAAGGACATGAGAGAGATTTAAAAAAAAAATGGTGCTATCCTCGTTTGTATTCCTTGGAAGCCAAAATTCATTTCCAACCGTGGAAATGCGCACAAATCGTTCTTTCAATGATAAATAATCAGCTGTTCATCAGTTCAACGCGACAAAGACAATTCATGAGACCGGGTGCGAGGGGGTGGTTAACCAGGAAGTGTTAAAATGTATATATAACGATAATTATGTACTAGATGATATACTATGACTGCTCTATACTGCTGAAGTACAAATGTTTTCATTTAATTACGTTATACATAAATTTGTTTCTTCATTTTTTAAAATATCAGTACTCTACGCATTTTTTTCTATATTTATTATTATTATTAATGTTATGGGTGATTATTTTTTATGGAATACGTAATTAATGTAATGAGTTTTATTGGATTTAATGGAGGGATTATTGAGCTTTTGCCTGTCACTCATTGATTTTAGGTGTTTTATCGCTTCAGGATTCATTCTCTTTCCGCTTTATTTCATGTTTCGATTTATTTTCGTAGGGATTAGGGATTTTTTCTCGTCGAGATGTGGTATGCGACAATCATCCATTATGTGGAAACTATTACGTGTTGAAATCATGGCTTTTTGAGAGGTTTAAGGGGTTCTATTTGGATTTGACGCTTGTTATTATTTATCCGAGGGCCACGGAAATTCGTTGATTATTGCAATATCAATTGAATTCCATCTGACATATCGGACTGTCGATTGAATTTTAGACGAATAGATTGGCGTGAAGAATCTCTCTAGATCGTAATCAATTCGAAACATCGATGGAATCATGAAATCCGCTGATATGTGATTCGTGAAAAAAAAAAATGCACAAACGTGTTCTATAATTTATCAATAAACTCCACGGTGACTTGCGTACTTGAACTAATCGATTGGGAGAACTCGGGAGGCTATTTAATCGATGAAAAATAATTTAATCACGTGGTACCAATCTGTCACTTCTGCTCATCTAACGATCGTGTAATGGAAAAAAAAATCTATCATTTGGGAGGAATTATTAATCGTAATACGACTCGGTGCCAATTATGAATTAATGTTTAAACTAGGTTTAGGGGGTGGGGAGATGCGATGGCAATTCTAGGTAAATTATCCTGAGATTAAAGTGGAGCCTCTGGAAGCCAGGAACTGGTAAATTGTGAAATTTCGCTTTTTTCCTTTAACGATTACACATCTCTTCGATTACGAGGTGTTTCATTAAAACACTGATGTTAGAGATTAGCCCATAGGTACAATGAATTTTACCATTAGTTGGAATCATGATGTTTTTTCATTGGAGAAGAAAGTAACGAGAGAAAATGAAATTTATCTAATTAGGGGCGATATTTCACTGAGATGCGATTTGAGGAAAAAATAGTTTAAGTATATGATAGAGATAATATATTCCCACGTTTTCATCGACTCCTTTTGAAAATAATTACAAAACTATTTTTCATTGTTGTGTGGTTTTAAATATTGAGAAAAATGCTTGATCCACATTTATTATTTCATTAAGTTTTACTGTATTTATAACATAACGCTCATTTTATTTACAGTTTATCCGTTTATTATACTTTATCCCTGTTTTCACCAGATAAATTTTTGTGAAAAAAAAAAGACAACAATACGAAGATTAATGTATCGTCCATTGACACATGTTTTTTCATATGAAACGATGGCATTGCCGAAATAAATAATGGGATTGGAAGACTTGAATCTGAATAAATGATGTTTTTTTTTCTCTGGAGAGCCCGATTTATGTCAAAAAGTTTATTATAAAATATTAAGTACATACGATTTAACACTACATACTCAAACAGGTGTAACGTCAAGCTCGATTTGTGATTCTCGAATTATTACTTTTTTTCTTCATTCGTCGATTGACAAAAAAACACTGATAAATCAACAGCCACAAGTGGATAAAACGTACCTGTCGTATTTACATCACAACCTACTCGGTAAAAACTCAAATTCCCAAACAAAAATAATTGGCAAGTGAAAGGTCCAGGTACAAGGAAACTAAACCACAAATTAAAAACTATAACTGTACATTTCGTTGTTGAAGGCTGTGGAATTGAAGATGAATGGCCCCAATTATTCAGTCTTACGATTGATTATTCAGTAATTAACTCAGTTATCAGTTCATTAAATATAGTTGAGCATCAGAGGGATTTTCTCCGCAAAATCTATAATATTGTTCCTCAAACGTCCGAATAAACACCCAAAAAATTTGAAATTCAAATCTCACTATTGAAATTCACCCCACAAAAAAGACTAATTAAAACAAATCGTTATAAATTATTATCAAGCTCTAAAAATTCATGAATGATAAAACCTGTAAATAAAAAAATATTGATATCGATAGTAAAACGATAAAAGAGATTTGCAATCCAAAATTTTGGATTTACTCAGTATTTGAGAAACGACTGGAATAAATTGAGGGATAAAAACCGTCTTATTGAGCATAACTCGATGTCATAATCTAGACAAGAATTTTCTTCTTGGTGAAAGCAGCTTTAACAACACTGGTTGCCTCGAGAACGAGAGTATCGAGTATAGCAATGGTTAGTTCATTTTTGACATCGAGCTCATCATGATGAAACTTTGTCCACTCGTCCTCCTCAGCCTGTGCCTCTCTGGCAAGTAATTCATCAACCCTGTCCCTCCTCTTTCTACTCCACCGCATCACCATATTCTCCCTCTGCAATTTCGTCTTGAATCCAAACAGCGTTGCGACTTCCTTATTAACATAATCCGTGAGTTCCTGGAGATTTTTTGGTATTTTTATAGCTGGTTTGGTCTTGACACTGGGTTTGGTCCAGCTTGGTCCAGGTTTTTCATACTCAGACTGATAGATCTCAGCGATAGTCTCCTTGCACAGATCAAAGAGAAAAGTATTATAGATTTTTCTGTCCCTCTTGGATGTCTCATTCGAGTCCTTGCTGGACTCCAGAATTTCCAGTGGTGCTTCCAGAGCCATAATCTCCTCCTCATTGAATTTTGAATTGTAAATTAGAGCTGTTGCCTTCTCAGTGAATGCTGTGAGCTCTTCGACGTTCGTGGGGACCACCACAGGGGGCAATGTCGGTGATACCTGGGGGGATGACAGTCTGACAACTCCAGGAGGTGTGTAAGGGGGTGGAGGCTTGTTGGGAATTTCTCGAACGTAGAGTCTCTCTTCCTCCTCGAGTTTTTTTATTTTCTCGATCTGGAGGTCTATCTGGAGTTTCTCGATTCTCAGGAGTCTTGCTTCTAGCTCGGCAACAGCCAGTCCTGGCTGGCCCAATGATGCCTGGAGCTCATCGATCTTCACCTCGATGTCCTTCTCTGAGGTCGAGATATCCCCGGGGAGATAGTCCTCGCTCTTCTCCACTGGATTCCCCAGTAAATCGTCGTCCAGGGCCTCGATGTCCAGTCTGGATTCATTCTGATCCCTCGGGGAGTCGAGATCAATCTCGGATATCTCCCTCGGGGTGTCACCGGCATCACTCGAGTCCTCTTTCTCAATTTTTCTGGATTCTGGCTCCTCAATCACCGGCTCAATTCTCGATTTTTCCAATTCGCTGTTCTCTGGTGATTTTTCGACGTTCAACTCCTCGATTATAACCCCTGAGGGCACCGGGGAAATATCACCGCAGGCATCGACGATTTCCTGGGAATTCCCTGGGGACGATATCTTCGACTTCCTGGATATCTCATCGAGAATCCTCAGGACGTCATCGGTTTTCTCAATTATCTGGTGTTTGTCAGGGAATTTGGAGGATTTGGAGGACTTGGAGGACTTGGAGGACCTCTGAGAGTCCGATTTATCCAGGATCTCGGATACCTCGAGACTCTCCTCGGAGATATCCTCGTACTCGGGGTCTCTGATGATTTCTTGAATTTTTGGGGGCTGCCTGATAGAAATTGCAGATCTCGGTGGCTCTTCAGGTGTTTTAACATCCTCGGGGACAGATAATGGACCAGGGGAGTCGTCCTCGCGATTCAGCTCGTCCAGGGCCTCATCCAGATGATCATTCATCGAAATTTTCTCATCTATGTCTGTCTCCACGAGATTCTCATCGTTGAAATCAATATTCTCCGGTAAATTCGATTTAACCTCGTCGTCTTCGAGGGCTGATTTTTCCTCTGTTCTCCTTGCAATATTTTTCTCGACGTTTATGAGGATTTCCGTTAATTTCTGGAGCATTGGCTCGACGTCTGCTGTGAGATTCAGAGGCGAATCCCCTGAGGGATGTTGAGTCCCCAGATTTTCCCTGATATCGAGATTTAATTCGTCAGGAAGGGGGAGAAGATCCTGGGGCCTCTCCGACGCCTGTCTGTCCCTCTCGATAATATCCAAAATGTCGTCGAGTTCATCCGTGTGGACCCCCGGTTGGTCCAGCTCCTCGTCCTCACCCCCATGAAGTGCAGTCGATTCCCCTCCAGGGAGAAACATCGAGTCCTCATTTTCCTGGAATGGAGAATTTTTTTCCTGAACATACGTCGTCTCCTGGGTGAAATCCTCGTGCTCGTAACGATCTTCGTCGTCATCGTTCAATAATAAAGAGACCCTGGGCACCTCGAAGGAGTCAGAAACAGTCCAGTCACTCCTGTCGATACTGAAATCCCTCTCGGAGACATTCTTCAGGCCTGAGGACTTCTCCGACACCAGGGAACTCTCATTTCCATCCTCTTCCCCATCCACTTGCTCCCTCGATGAAGACTCTGAGGATTTGCCTGGAGATTCCCCAGGAATCGAGGACTCTGGTCGTTCCTCAGGGATTGATTCTGTGTTTTCTGTTTGGGAAATTATTTTTTCTACGTCATCTTCAAGGAGCTCGACCCGTGGGGTGTCGACTGGACCCTCGAGGCCCTCAGGAATCCCCAAGGAGCTCTTGTTCTCAGTCATCTTCGAAATTATTTCGGAAATCGACTTGATATCCCCTTCTATTGACGTGAAATCTGAGGATAGCGCCTCGTTTTCCTTGTGGAGGGTTTCCATACTTCTCTCCAGGGCTGCTCCACTCCTTTCCAGATCATTTCCAGTGGATTTGAGGGTCTCTGTGAGAATTGACTGCTCGGTGTCCACCGGAATTTCCTTAGTGGAGGTGTCGGAGTGAATTGTCTCCGGAATTTCGTTGGATTTATTTTCTGGGCTCTGCAAAGTGGCCCGCGGGGTCTCCAGGACTTCAGACGATACCTTCGACACCTCCTGGGGACTCTCCATCTCGGTCTCAATCCTCTCAGACCTCGTCAACTCCTCGCTGATGTCCCTCGACGTATTTCTCCCTGGGGTATCCTCTGGGGTCTGCAATCGCTTTTCCTCGGACTTTCTCGTGAACATTGACATCATCTCCGAGAGGGTCTTCAGGTCGTTTTCGAGGGTGTTGATATCATCGTCCAGGTTCTTGTTATTCAGCTGGAGGAAATCCATCTTGTGGGAGAAAATCGAGGCATCACTGGCTGTTTTAATCTCTGATGTGGACTTCTTCGAGTTCGGAGGGGACGAATCGACCTCGTTGATCATCTCCGAGGAGGAATTCATCTGGGTAGACCTCCTGGCATCCTCCAGCACTGACTCGATGCTTCTGCTCAGGGGCTTCAGATTATTAGAATCTGGAGACGAGCGAGTGCCGGTTATCAGATCCGACTCTGATCGTGAATGCAGCAGGTCGCTGTTCTTGTAGATCTCCTGGATCCGCTTCATCGGTATCTCAGGTACCTTAAAATCCGATATCGTCCGCACTTCTATCGCAAGTTTTCCATTCTCCTTCGGTCGCTTTGAATCCAATTTTTTACGCATTTCGTGAATTGTCGAGTCGTATTTCTAAAGAAATTCCCAAAAATCATTAATTCAATGATAATAATTAATTCTTTAATCACAAATCAATTAAATAATTTAAATCAGTTCCGGTGAAGGTGAATTAAATTTCACCATTACCTCGTAGAGGAAAAATTCAATTATGAATTAAAATGGTGGAATTATTAAATTCAAATGATGAAAATTGTCTAAAAAATGGGGTAATGAGATTTGTAATTGAAACCTTTATTTGATTGAGCAGATTGGCCTCCAGAGCTTTCAACCTCTGCTTGGCCTGTCTTCTGGCTTCTCTCCTCAATTTAGCCATCTCAGCTCGTCTCTCGGTCAATTTTTCCGCCAAAAGCTCGACCCGTTCCTCGACGTCAGTCGTATCCGATGAAATAGTCGTATCTGGTGATAAAAAAAATCATTAGACTTGTCTCTAAATGACTCCAGAATAAATTTACCATTGCATAGAGCATTTGTCGTTGCACTGACTAGCTTGTAGGCAGCCTCTTCCATCCGTGCAACTCTGCTCTCCTCGGCTTTTAATCTGGCGTGCCAAGCTATCCAATCCTCAACGCAGTTCCTCCTGGTGGCTAGAGCAGCCTCTCGTGCATTCAAAATCCTCGAATAATTGGATCTGATTAGGGAATTAATTTTCAATTGATGGAGGGGGTGGAAAAAATTATTGAATTTTCACACTGCATTGGCCAACCGCTCACTGGATCAGCCGGTGAATTGCAAAAAGGGGAGGGAAAAGCCATCTAAATCGAGAACTCTATTTTTATAATTCCGGAACGACGTTTGCATGGTCGAGTATTTTCGGGTGATTATTATTAGGCACTCGGGAAATTTTCCAGCGAGCCACTCTATTTTCCATCCCTCCAGTAGGGCAAGGGTAATTTGCAAGAATCAGGACAAATTTTTTATCATTTAATAGATTCGACTGTTTTTTTTTTGAGTTATCGTGGAAAATTCAAATTTTCGAAAAAATAAAAAATACCAAAGGGGATGAACTGAATTTTCGACTCATCCCTTTCATCCATTTGTGTCAAATGAAAAAAACTTACTGTGCGAGTTTCTTGGGCCCCTTGAACCGATGATCCTGCGACCTGATGACGACCGACCTGGAGTAGCTCTTCTCACTATCGCCAGAGGAATGCCTCGATATGGTAAATGTGCTGACATGAGACCTGGTGGAGATATTTCCAAGTCCCTGAACCCCGTCCTCGCCCTCTTTGACAACACTCATGGCCTGTGCGTCCTCATCGGCAATATCCCTCATGAGCTTATGACTCTTCTCCTTGACGGCCTTGGAGTGCTTGAGAAGAGCCTGAAGTGAAGTCTGGCTCTCATCAAGATCCACAACATTATCAGTCGAGCTGTCCTCCCTCTTCTTGTACTTTCCATCCTCCTCTTTTCCCTCTTTTCCCTCCTTCCCCTTCTTTACCCCCTTCAAACTCTTTTTCTTGAAGCCCTTACCCTCCGGCGAGCCCTTCCTGGGCTTGTCCTCAATTTTTCCCTTCCTCATCCCCTCGTTCTTTCTATTCAAGTCCTCAACAAGAGTATCAGACTCTGTCTTATCCTCACCCTCCCCAGGAGTCACACCATTCCTCGCCAATTTCTCCTCAACCTCGATCTGCTGAGCCTTCATCCTCATCACATCTCCCCTGGGCATCTTCTCCTCGAACTTCCTGGCTTTAACCTCGTATTTCTTGGGGGACTCCACCTGCGAGGAATAACTCGTATCCTGGAGGAGTTTCGAGGGCACCTGCTCAGTCTTCTCGAGGCTCTGACGAGATCTCTCCAGATGAGATTTATCAGAGTCTACCAGCGAGCTGACAGAACTATTAGATCTTATATCATATCCCTTCATCGGGCCGGAAAGCCTCTTGGGGGACTGACAGTCCGCAGACCTCTTGAGCTTCGTCAGAATATTCTTCGTTGACATCTGGGGATTGAACATGTTCCTCTGCTTCTGGAGCATGAGCTTTCTCTCCTGACTCGCGAGCTTGTGCAGCTCCTTCAGTCGATTCATCTCCTCTTTCTCCTGCTGAAGCTTCAGGAGAAGAGCCCTCTGCTTCTTCTTCACTGAGCTGATCCTGCTGTCCTGTCCAGTGTCCCTGAGTGCCCTCTTCTGCTCCTCCAGCTCCACAATCTTCTTCGTTCTGTCGTTGAGGGTTTTCTCTCTGTATTTGAAAAGCATCTCGATCTTATCGTACATCAGCTTTTCGTCCTTGATCAGTTGAGCCATCTCGTGGTCCAGGTACTTGTTGAAGGAGCACGTAACATCCCTAGTGGAGATACTAATCTCAGTTCCTGTTTCGGTTTTAATAGAGGACGTCGTCTCGTGGAGACTGATCTCCGACATGGCACGAATCTGACTGGGGAGGGAGACCTCGAGCTTCTCCAGGGAGTCAATGTGAAAATCCAGAGAGCCTCTATTGTAAGTGATACCTGGATGAGTCCTGGAAGGATCCAGAGTATCTGTCTGGGTAGCGATGTCATTCACTGTCTGAGTGTGAACCTCTCTGGCAGGTTTTTTGGGCTCCTCGAGGCCCTGAAGGCGCTGCGGCAGATCCTCGTCGACCTGGGGGACATCGATCTCTGGTTCTCCCACCAGACATTTTCTTCCTTCTCTCTCCTTATCCTGTTTTACATTGTACAGGCTATTCTCCACGTCCATTACCTGCCTGAGGGACTCATTGCAGGAGTCGAAGAGGTGGAGCTCAGCCTGAAATTGCATGTGGAGAGCTGTGGGATGCACCAGGACGTCCTCGTTACCCTCGACGGGGGGATTATCGTTATCCTGCTTGCCCTCTCTCCTGTGCTTGTGACGATGATTCAGGTTGAGCTCCGGTGTCACCAGATTGACGAACTCCTCCTGCGGGTAGCTGTCCTCCCTGAAGGAGATTTTTCTGGGGTCGAGAAAGACCTCAGTGGAATCCGTCAAGGATCTCTCGATTTTATCCCCGTCTTTTGGTTTTCTCTTTCCCCTGGAAGCCTCTGAGACCTCCAGGTCCTCAGATATTTCACTCGGGTGTCTGTAGCTCTTCGGGGATGACCTCTTTGGCTTCTCCAGGAGTTTCTTCACATCCTTCGAGGACACCCGGTGCTTCTGGCTGTCCTCCGGGTATTTCTGCAAGGAATTCTCGCTCCCTGAGCCCCTGGAGGACTCTCTCGACTTGGATATCCATTCCGGGGGTCGTCTACCCTCCGAGGACCTCTCCCTAGGCTTTCCATGGGATCTCGAGTCCTTCTTCGAGGATGAGGGAACTGTCTTCTTCTGGGACTTTCTGGCATTCAGCAAATCTGTCGCTGAGAACCTCTCGATCTTCGATCTCTGGACAATTGTCTCCAGGTCCTTCCTCGAGATGTGCCGCAGGTTTCGACGTTTCGACGAGTCCTCCAGGTGCGAGTCCTCCCCTTTCGAGAAACTCGATTCGTCCTTTCGAATTTTTTTTGTCCTGTTCTCTTTCTCTCGGGACGAGTCTCTGGAGTAGTTCTTCTTGGACAGACTCGAGGGGAACGAGATATCCGGTGTCTTCAAGGGATCGATGTCGTCGTTCGTCGTGAAAGAGTCGGACCCGGAGAAGTCGAGTTTACGATAGGCTAGTGAGACCTTCGAGGTTTTTTCCGGCTTTGGGGAGTCCTTCGGAGGATTCGGAAGTTTCGACCTGTGGGGGGAGTACTCCAGGGTCTTCGGGTGGATCTTCAGGTCCGGGACCTTGAGGGGCTTCACAAAATCCATACCTGGAAGAATCAAAGGATCCTGATGCTTCACCTCCGGGTGGCAGTCATTCTGGGCTGCGAGGGACAGCTTTCGTTTCACCGCCGAAATGAAGGTGAAAGGATACCCCTGGAGTTGTACGTCCTGACTGGGTTGAGAGTGTCTGGGAATCGTTACTGAATCCTCGACCCTCTGGACAATAACGTCAGGATGCTCGAAGAAAATGTACCTCTTCCTGTCCCCGGGGCACTCCTCACTCATTATCCATGGGTTTTCACACCTGAACAAATCAATCCACCCTATCTCATCTCCATCGGCATCACCAGATACGAAATCACAGAGATAATCATCATCACCATTCAAACAATTGGAATGCGTCGTTCGGTCAAAGTACAACTCCAATGAAAAATATAATTTCCAATCCCTGAAGCTGTTGCAACCCCCACTGCACTCTTTCACTCTTCAATTATTATTAATCAGGGCAAATGATCCTGATCACAATTATTTGAACCCATACTGGAGTCTTCAGACGCGGGACTCGTAACTGTCATTTGTTCAAGGTTACCAGACGTGGAGGTTATAGCGGGTATTGGCTTTTTTAGTGGTTAGGTCGTCGGAGTAACGAAAACCGTTGGGCTGGGGACGACTCCAACCCGGAACAGATGCTCCCTTTCAGACGACTACTTTTTTATCACAGATCAACCACCCCAGGACTACCTGAGCGGCGTGATTTTTTTATTTGGTGATTTCCGTGATTATTCAAAAGCCCAGCCAAGGAGGATTGACTAAAGTAGAGGCTCAGTGCTGGGGGTCTGAGTGACCCCGGCGACGGCGTAGTACTCCACCCCAAGAGATGGAGGGCGCAACACGCAATTCTGGGGTGTCCATCAAGTCTACGGGGTGAATTTTATTTTCTGCGGTACGAATTCTTTTTGTTTTTTATTTGTTTAACTGAAATTTAGCCGACTGTAACACGTACGGAAGGGGGAAACCACATCTTGTGGAATTTCAATGAAAAAAATTATTCAATGTATTAAATATATACCACTAATGAATTTATTATTTTAAATGAGCGCGTTGTCCTAGTGGTAACGTGCTCGACTGGCACGCCGGCGGCCCGGGTTCAATCCCGGGATCATTCATTTTTTTTTTTTTAAATAATTCCAATTTTTTTTTTTGTTAATGTCAAATCAATCTAAATATTGTTTAAAAACTGAATATTTGATAATCGAGGAGATATGCCATGAAATTGAACAATTTGACATTTTTAAAAACGAAAGTTTTTCAATATATATACTCCTAATGAAATTATAATATTGCAATAGTGTGTTATCCTAGTGGTAACGTGCTCGGCTAGCACGCCGACGGCCCGGGTTCGATCCCGCCGTCATTCATTTTTTTTTTAAATAATTCCAATTTTT